ACACAGCAAATCCATCTCATCATTTCCTGCTTGGTCCTTCACTTTCTTAGGGATCCAAGGCCCTTTGGGCTTCCCCTTGAACTTTCCTTGATTCAACACTGCTGCCTCGGGAAGACCTGCTGCCTTAGCCTTTCGCTTCTGCTTCCGACTGGAATTTCCTCCTCCGGTGTCCTGGGCAACTGGTCTATTCTTACCACTCCGGAGTCGGTCTTCTTCTTAGCCATTAGCATACTTGGTGGCAATCTCCATCATTCGAGTCAGGGACATATCTCCGGTCCGACCGAACTTCAGATTGAGCTCTCTATAGCGAACGCCCTCCTTAAAGGCACAGACTGCTTGATGATCTGACACATTCTCCACTGTATGGTACAGAGTGATCCATCTCTGGATATAATCTCTCAAGGTTTCATTCGGTTTTTGCACGCAATGCTGCAACTCTAGTAGACTAGCAGGTCTTTTGCAGGTGCCCTCAAATGTTCTGGTAAACACTCGGGCCAACTCATCCCCAACTCGAAATGCTCCGAGGGGCCAACTGATTCAGCCAGGCCCTGGCAGAACCTTCAAGCATCAGAGGGAGGTGCTTCATGGCCACCTCATCGCTGCCACCACCAATGTGCACAGCCACTTGGTAGTTTTCAAGCCAAGTGTCGGGCTTTGATTCTCCTGTGAACTTACTGATGCCATTCGCCAATCTGAAGTTATGAGGGATTTCAGCGGCTCTAATGGCTCTTCCAAAACACTCTGGGCCGGAAATGTGGACCCTACTTCCACTGGGCCTGTCTCTATCCAGCCCTTCTATGTATGCTCTGTTTCGGTCGACCAAACCCTGCACAAGGACTGACCTTGCGTCGAAGCCAGGCTCTCTGGAGTCGACTAGAACTCTGCGGTCATTTCCATATGGACGCCTATCATCATACCATCGGGGCGCATATGACCCGTCCCTCGGAAGGGGCGAAGGCGCTCGGCGGTGGTTGTCGCGGGCGTACTCACGATCATACTCTCCATGAGCTCTTCCCAGGTGCCGATCTTGGTGGTGATCACGATCTCCATGCCGCAAAGGCGACCTAGGATTGTGTGCCGATTGAACGGTGCCTGTCCTTACCGATCTGCTGTGGATTCTGTTCTGCGACTGGGACACGGCGGAGTTCTGGTCTCCCGCTGCTCGGAGTAGCGCCCTGATCTGTTAAGCCTCTTCCAGCCTCTGAATGGGACGACTGAATGGACTCTACGATACGCGCAGCAGCTGCAAGATTCTGAATTGGTGTGCAGAATACCTGAGTTTCTGGTGGAAACAACTATCATGGACGTCCACTAGACTCGGGGATCAGTCGATGGGCACGCTCATCGAGAGAATGTTGGTGATTCTCCAAACGAGTGCGCTCAGCCAGCGTGGCCAGGTGCACTGCTTCCAAGGCACGAGCCTCGACGGTTTCCCCTATGATGGGGGTCTAGAGAGCCTCCACGTTGTGGCGGTGCATCTCCTCCCTCTGCTGCGAGCTGAGGGGTTGGGGCTGATACTCCTCATGGCCGAATGACGGGCCGTCGCCGCCACCATTGCCACCACTGCGACAAAAACCAGGTGGGCTGCGATGGGAGTCGACCATGAGGACTTCCACCGCGGGGTCACAACTCCCGCTCTCAAAAAAGGTGTCTGCGAAATCAGTCGACAGGTCGACTAAACCGCAGAGAAATGCCTCGGGCTCGATCGCCATGACTTGGGGGTGAATGCCTGATGAGCCACCGCATGCTTCACCCACCGCTGGAGCCGCGATCGACCAGACCGCTTGCGGCGGCGTCCAGCCGAGTGAGACGATAGCACGAGGACCGACTGATACGGGGTCGACGGCTGCTGAAGGAGGACACTGTAGGCACTCGCGCGGAAGTGCGGCGAACCACGGATCAGGAGAGCCTCGACGTCGAGGGGGCCTCCTGGAGCCAGGCGGAGTCGTCGGCGACGAAAGTGAGCGCGCTGAGTCGGAACTCGTGGCCCATGACCAAACCGCCGCCGAAAACCATGTTGATGAAGATCGAAGAAAATGCAACTTCGCCGGAAGTCGCTAAGACGCTTTGCCCCAAGGTAGGCGCCAACTGTCGTGGTACTAAGTCTGACAGTAAGAATAGGGGGTACGTATGAGGAGGCAAGGTCCTAGCTACGGCGAGATTGTACGCAAGAGTTTAAGAGTTGGGGGCCCTCTCGAAGGAGGGTAAAAGCCCTACATCTCGGTGCCCTGAGGCGGTCGACTGGAATATGGGAGTGTGTGTTACAGGGGGTGCAAACCCTTGTCCCAGAGGAGGGGGTGGCTTATATAGAGTGCGCCAGGACCCAGCTCCCCTCCATTACAGGGGTTCAATGTACATAAAGATAGGGCGTTACTGATAACGCCAGCTATAAAGTGTATTTAATGACCTTTAAGACTACGGAGTGAACGTCTGACCGTTGCCGTCCTAAGTGACTCCTGGTCTTCTGTAGGTCGAGTGGTTTCTCGTATAGTCGAATGGCTTCGTCTTGGTCGAGTGATATCAGGAGGGAGGGGTACCCGAGTGATATGACTGGTCGAGTGGATTGCACTCGACGACTTCAATTGGTACTCTCTGTTGTCCCTTGAATGTCTTTACTTCTAGGGTAGTGACCTTGGGTAGGGCGTATAGGTCAGGCCTATGACCCTACCCTAGGTCTATGTCATCATCCGCGCCCCCTTGGGGGTGCGCCGTTTGAGTTTGTGGCCCTCTCATAGATCTTCTGCCTCCTCCCGAAGCTTCTAGGGTCCCTTCTGGTCCATAAAAAATCACGCTAAAGTTTATCGTGTTTGAACCCCGTTTGGTGTTAATTTTCTAGAAAAAACATGTAGAAAACAGGAACTGGCACTGGGCACTGAGTTAATAGATTAGTTCCCAAAAATGATATAAAATTGCATATAGCGCCTACAAGGTTGATAATATAATAGCATGAAACAATCAAAAATTATAGACACGTTGGGACGTATCAGCCCACCACGCACACCACACACATCCTTATCTCTAGCACCGCTTTTATCTCATCCAGCGCCCGTCCTCTCGCTCGCGCATCGCCTGCCACGTCTCTTGCTCACGTCGTCGGATCCTAGCTCTTGCAAGCCCCACCACCATCGAACTTCCCTCTCCTCCTATTTCTTCCTCTCCAACGAATCCCCACCCCCCTGTTTTGCCCTCATAGCTCCATGTGCCGGCCTCCGCTAGCTCCCCGACGCCCCCTCTCGCCTAGTGATGAACCACGGACGGCGGATGGTGGAGCTACTACCAGCCACACCAGGAGCTGCAAACGGCGGACAGAGGAGCTACAACTTGCCAGCCAGGAGGTACACCCAGAGGATGGAGGAGCTATCACCGGACACGTTGGGAGCTGCAACCGGCGGACAGAGGAGCTACAAGCTGGGAACTACGACTGACGTACACACGTGCTAGAACCAGCACACATGGGTGCTGCCACCGATGCGCGACCGTGTTGTAGCCAGGCATCTCCAGTGCTGGAACCAGCAGGCCCCTGCTGGAATCGGTGCGCGGCCCCATGCTGGAACCAGGACATGGGAATGCTGGATCCAGCCATCTCCGATGCTGGAACAAACCATCCCGCTACTGGAACCAGCGCGCCCTGTGCTGGAATCAGTGTGCGACACCGTTCTGGAACCATGCTATCGGAATGCTGAGTCCAACCATCTCCGTTGATGAACCAACCATCACCGGTGCTGGAACCAGTCGACGACCGGATGGTGCTACCACGTCGACATGCTATATCGGCGACTTACTGTGAAAGCTTAAATCGGTGGCCCGTTTTGCTGGGACCGGCATCACAATTTGCTACGTGGGGTAGAGCAATGGCCGGTGACGACGACGCTACCACGGCTGAACGACGTTGCTGAAAAACTTTCTACAGTGGCCTGTTTTTGTTGTAATTGACGCGGAATTTGTTACCCGCGGCGTCGGCGAGCATCGACAACAAGGCATTGACCGTCTGTGACAAGGCAAGCCAGGGTAGGGCGATTAGACAAGCTGTTGGCTGGCGTCTGCATGCGGGAGGGCATTCGCCATGGATTTTTTCAGAGAACGGAGTGAAAGTGGTGTGAAGGTGGGAAAGGATAAGTGGGGAGAAGTGTTAGGCCTAGTTCAATCTCATGGATGCAAGCGTATGAGCATAGTTTTCTGTTTAAACAATAATGTTGTGCATGGTCGGGATGTGACCTGCGCATGCACGTAGTTGGAGGCTGCCCCTAACTCTTTCCGTTTTCCTCTCCCGGTCGTTGCCGTTCGCTTGTGATCCAGTCGCTGGATGAGGCGACAGATACGAATCAAGGCAGCCCGCCGGGAGGTAGTTCGCACTCGGATGTAATCCTATTAAGCTAAGGAATAACATAAAACAGAAGGTTGCGACGGTTGGCAGCGAAAACTCTCTCTCTCTCTCTTTCGAACACTCTCTCTCTCTAACAACAACAAGAAGCGGCTAGTATTTCACGAATCGAACAATGCGTGGTCCGACCGGCTAAAATTTCAGCCGGTCGACCGACGCCTATCACTCACCTAGAGAGATCCAACTCCGGAAAATGCTCTGGCACGTACATTCTCAAGATCACTGCGTGCTTGTCGAAAGGTAACTTTCCGGACACAAACCCAAAGTCCCTTGAAAAAGACCAAACATCCACACTGATATCAGCTTGACGCACGCAAACCTGCCCATTTGAAGAGAGTCAAGTCAAAATATACAAGTGTACCCAAAACTAAATGAATAAACGTATTCATGTTTTTGCCTAAGCAATACCCATAACTAAAGAGCACTGAACCTGTTCATGCTTTTGCCTAACTAAGCAATTTCCACACCTCGTCACATGTAGTACTGTCAAACCTATTTATTGCCACCCATATCCATTTCTCACCTCCCACACCTTGCAGCATTCACTCACTCACTCAACTCTCTCTCTCTCTCTCTCTCTCTCTCTCTCTCTCTCTCTCTCTCTCTCTCAGGCAACAGCATGCACCCGGACACCTCCGTAGCTGCGGTGGTCTGTGCGGCTGCTGTGCTGCTCATCAGCAATGGCTACCTCTCCATGGCCATGGTGGAGGACAAGATCACAGCACTGCCGGGGCAGCCACCGGTGAGCTTCGCGCAATACTCCGGATACGTGGAGGTGGACGCCGCGAGGAAGAGGTCGCTCTTCTACTACTTCGCTGAGGCAGAGCTAGATCCGGCCACCAAGCCCCTCGTCCTCTGGCTAAATGGAGGTAAATTTAGTGGCTGCCACAAGCTTCCCACTGTTTCGTCTTATTGCATTATTGGTATTGGGGAGATCACAGGAGAAGGAACAGTGTGAAAAGGCCAGAGCCAGAGGGGAAAGGAAATTAACAAATGTTGAGAGAGAGAGAGAGAGAGTAGATTTTCTGTGCAAATGCGCCTACAGCAGACTTTTACTTGGATCATACATTAAAAAGATACTTTTCCTAATTGGATTCTTGAAAGAAGATATACGAAGTGTCCCAACTGTTGATGGAAGGGGACTTTTTACCTTTAAATTTTGATGTCCTTGCAGTAAAATGTGTTTTTTTAGGAG